CAACTTAAGAGCCTCTTTTAGAGCCTTTTTGGCTCAAAGTCCCATGCATGCACGTAAATTTCATAACTTTACGTGCTAGATCGAGTTTAGGGACCTAGATCTATCATTTGGACAAGAGTTGTACACCAGAAATCGAAGAAATAGACTTGGACTGTATAGACTCGGCGAGTCGTTCGTGGGACTCGGCGAGTCCGAGGTTAGACTCCCCTTTTCTGTTATGGTTCAAGAGACACAGTTGAGTGTTAGAAAGGTTTTAGAGGGTCCAGGGGAGTGACCCAAACGTATTGGGATAAGCCATAGTCCTGGAGTTCATAGGACTCGGCGAGTGCATGAGCCGACTCGGCGAGTCCAAGGCAATCTCCCAACTCTTGAAGATGAACTCGACGAGTTGTTCATACAACTCAGCGAGTCGAGGACAGGACTTGTTCATAGGATGAAGATGAACTCGACGAGTTGTTCATACAACTCGGCGAGTCGGATGAAGGTTCATCCGGGGTTGTTTTAGAAGGAGAACTCGTCGAGTCGTTGCTAAACTCGACGAGTAGAGACGTGGATGAGGACAGTTGAAGAGATAGGGACTCGACGAGTTGGCGGCCCAACTCGGCGAGTCAGGTCAACTGGAAGTTGACTTTGACTTTGACTTTGACTTGGACTTGGTCAAGGGTAAAATGGTCATCTTACCCTAGGAATATATTTCAGACTCTGATTAAGTGTTTTGTGGGGATTATAGCCGGAGGATTTCCGGAGCAGCAGCAGACAGAGATTTCCCACGCAGATTATCAGCAGCTACTCGTTCGAGGTGAGTTACCTTCCCGTAGGGGTGGGTCTAAGGCCACAATGCCGGCCCACCAACAAGGGTAGTTGTTAGATAATTGTCTTTGTGATAATTATCTTGGTATGGTTATGTGCTTTGGTCATAGGATATGCCTGTGTGATATGTTATGTGTATTAATGGTAGTGGTAGGGATTAGTTCTTCCCTGGCATCGGTCTTTAGGATCGAGGGGGTAGGTCAGTACCCAGTTATGCCTGATTGAATGATTATACTTTGTTATTGTATGATAATGGTAGGGGTGAAATAGTCCCCAGTTACCGGTTGAAAGATACCGATGGTAGTTACCGGTTGAAAGATACCGATGACAGTTACCGGTTGAAAGATACCGATGACAGATACCGGTTGAAAGATACCGATGACAGTTACCGGTTGAAAGATACCGACGATATTATATGGTAGGTGGTATGATGGGGGAACTCACTAAGCTTTGTGCTTACAGTTTCAGTTTTGGTTTCAGGTACCTCTTCGTCTAAGGGGAAGGAGTCGGCGGTGTAGCAGCGCCTCACACATTCACACATGATTTCGCAATGAGCTTCTGGGATTGTACTCTGATTTCCATCACTTATGATGTTATGATTTTGAGACACGGCATTGTGGTTTAAACCTGATGTAATATTGACAATGTTTTGGTAACATATTTTATGACTTGCTTAAATTAAAAACAAAATTTTTGGTCTCAAATTTTGGGATGTTACAGAAATCCTATAGCACCGACAAATCAAACGACCAACCCTTATCGATGACATGAGTCATAGTCGTAACCGTTTGCTCAATTGGTGCAACTGTCATGAGTTCGTGAATAGGGCTTCAAGAAATAGGGAAATCACAGATCGATTGGAGGACAAAGGAGTGTGGTGAGAAAGACACGTGGAAGTAAAAGTGGAGAAATGTGGATGACTAAGCACAATGAGGTCAACTAATAGAAAGAGGTGGATAACTCAGTAAGCATGTCCGAAGTAGTCAAATAATTGGCCTTAGGGACTAAAAGTGTTAAAGTGGGCAAAAAAGTGTGGCAAAAGTCTGAAACATAAGAAGTTTACTATTTATAAGTTCAATGGAAATTAATTATATATATAATAAGATAATTATTTTCATTACATGTATTTAACAAAAGTTTAACTTAGGGATGAGCAAAAGGACCGAACCGGCCCGAACCGAACCTGACCCGGGAACCGGCTTCGGCCAAAATCAAGAACCGAACCGGCCCGGCGGTTCTACCGGTTCCGGTTCCTACCGGTTCTTGTCGTGTCTTCAAATGTTGGAATCGGTCCTTGAAAAATATCATCATACGGTTCCGATTATATCGGTTCCGGTTCCAAAAATCCACAAAAATAACGTCCTGGTCCCGGCCCGACCGGTTCCATTGGGTTCCGGTGCCGGTTCCGGTTCCGGTACCGGTTCCGGTTCCGGCCGGTTCCCCGGTCCATATGCTCATCCCTAGTTTAACTATTTTGCGACACGCGCATATATCTCAAATGACAAATCTTATGAAATGGATTGAAACATTCATTTTTTATCAAAAAATATGCGAAGTATGTAAGTTGGATTCTGATGCTTGAAAACAGGAAAGGTTTGAGGCATCAAATTCCTCAAATAAATCAAACTACAATAAAAGCATAAAACTCATATTCCTTTTGTAACAATTACGTATTCCTTAGTACAACTGATTTATCGTTAAAGTGATGATCGTGGTATGAAAAACTCAATAACTCAATATGTTATTGAGTATCTTTTATTTCGGTTTTTATGTTTTATGAATTACCAAAATAAAAAAGGTTAAACATGAAAATATTACATGTAATTTTTTATTAAATATAAATTCAATTTTGCTATTTCATAATTAGTTATAAATGGAAAACATGCAACAAGCTACATCGTTAAATTTTTTTGTATGATAAATTCAATTCTTTGAAGATTACATCCATAGATCTATGTGACATAACATTTTTATGCATTATCCATTATATTATATTAAGAAGTTTCACTGCATCCGGCACGAATAAACCAAATGTATCAAATGTGAATGGTATGAATATGTGTTGATTTTCTACGTACAATTTCTCATGTTTTGTGACTTTGCATGTAACAGGTTTTAGAGCAGTTTATTCCGCCTTCAAACCCCCAGCTCTCAAGCCCACGATAGGGGATACCCATGTAAGGTCCACACAAGCGTGTTTTCCTCCAACCCATCCAAAAACCAAACCGTCAGTCTAAGTCGGTCTAAGGGTTGATCTTCCTTCTATCGGGTCAGTTAAGAAAATTCACAAGAGCCTATTTTTTTATAAAATCATATTTATACAAAAAAGAAAAACATATCTTCACATAAAAACTCTTATTCTTTCTATATCAAAACCTTTTTTTACAAAACATTTTTGTTAAAATAAAAAGGTTTTATAAATATATTTTTTTGTATAAATTTGGTCCAAAAGGTTTTTTGCATAGAATGTTTTTTTATGTGAAAATATGTTGTTTATACAAAAAAAAAACATATTTTCACATAATAAAAAAAACACTTTTTACATTAGAAACATATTTTTGTTTGTGCACATATATAATTCGAAAACGAATAACATGTCAAATATTATTTTCACATAGGATGAAAAAATTATTTTTGTTTGTGCACCTATATAATTCGAAAACGAATAACATGTCAAAAAATATCTTTTATAAATATCTTGGTTTTTTATATGAAAATATGTATTTTAGTTTTTAAGCAAAATCTAATAAGCATAACCACTTCAATGTTTTTTATTTTAATATAAACCAATAAATTGTAACACCAATTTTCACTTATAAAAGTTAATAAATATAAATCTTTGGTTTATAAAAATGAAAGTAAAAATATATTGTTTTTTTGGCTAAAATAATCAACATGAAAGTTCTAGTAGTCATAAAGACGAATGTCTGTATATAAAAAATATCAAAAATTGAGTTTGTACGAAAAAGTTATGATTTTTGTAAGTTTTGAAGAAAATAATAACAGATATAATGATGTTAATAAAATAGTATGTGACCACTGATTATTTCCTATGTTTTTTTTATGTTTTAATATATTTTTCACATATAAAAACCCTTTTTTTTTTAAAATGTTTATATATATATATATCTATATATATATATCTATATATTATATATATATATATATATATATATATATATATATATATATAAAGGTTTTTTATATGAAAATATTATTTTTGTATAAATATGATTTTATAAAGCAAAAAAAGCCATATTCGAAACTAAATTTTGAAAAAAAAAAATATGTAAAAATACTACATTAGGATAAATTTGTAATAAATTTTTAAAATCTATACCAATAATGTAAATTTTGAAACAAATTTGTAATAAAATTTAAAATCTGAGTCAAAATGTAAATTTTGAAAGCGGGTAATATTTCATATATACAAATTAGGGACAGATCAAGAACAAAAATCAAGGGATACTTCAAACATAAAAGATTAAACAAAAAAAAATTCAAAATTTTGAGACTTTTTAGTCTTTTTAAGCAAAAACTAATACAAAATTGGGGACTTTTGGCAAAAGGTGATGCTAAAAGGGGCTATTTCATCAAAATATACATATTTGGTGTTTCTTTAGTAAATTTGTAGGATTTTTTTGTTGTAGCATGGTGCTGATAAAAAGCACAAAGTGAATATCTATATATATATAATATATATATATATATATATATATATATATATATATATATATTTGGATCAGAAAAAAATATATATAGACTTAATTGAATATGATGTGAATATATAAGGACTTTATAGTAAATTTCCCCACATATGTCCTTACAAAGACTAATTGTGGTTTTAATGATTTCCTATACAAACTGGTGACAGAAACTATTATGTTTTAAGATGTTCAATGGGACAATTCGAGTTATAACTGATGCGCAGTTTATTAGAAATCTCATCTCCTTGAGCGTCTTTGCCAAGAAGGGTTATAAATATTCAGGTGGAGATGGTGTTAAAGCTAATTTTAAGAAAACTAATGGTATTTAGTTATTTACTATGTTCACGTATCTTTTGAAGGCCATTGAATGTTGATGGTTGTTTTTGCTTAAAAAATCAATCTCTACAAGCATTTTATAATAGTAGTATTTCTGTTGTAAAAAACACATATCTAACATCTAACATCTGATATGGAAACCGAATGTAAAAATATGATCTTCCACAAAATCGATTATAGTATTCATAAATTCACAAAAAGCCAGTTAGTCACTATTAATATTACAAAAAGTATCTTTTTCCCGTGAGTGTGAGTGTGTTTATCAATTATTTATCAAAAACCAAGAAAGACCCCAAACAGATCATCAACTCACTAGCTTCCTTAGCCTCTTCTCAGCCCCTTTTGCAACCTTGTTTTGTGGTTCTAATACCAGCGCATGCTTAAAATCTGGAAATATTAGAACAAATAAATAAAGAGTAATTTACATTTTTGGTCCCTAACTACATCATCAGACTTTTGCAGATTTAGTCTCAAAAAGTTCTCTTTAAATTTTGGTCCTTATTTAAAGGTTCTTACAACGTTCTTGCAACTTTAGACCCAAAAAATTAATTGTAAAAGTGACCAAAAACATAGAAAAACTCGAATAAAGACCAAAAATTGCAAGAGAAAAATAACTGAAATAATCAGCTATACTGAGGGACCAAGAATGTAACTTAGTCAAAATACAACAAGTGGGGGAACCATTCTGCTAATTTTTTGACCATTTTGCAAAACAAAATTTCCTTCGAGTTGCTTGGTTTTCGTATCAGGGTGAAATACCAAAAAATAATAATAATAAGTGAAATGTACATTCGATTTAGCCACTTAACTACTAATATAACAATTATAAAAATGAAAAATAATAATAAATAATAGTTCAATCTAACAAAAAAGAAAAAGATACGCACCTTGAAGAGCCTCTTTGTAATAAAGAACTGATTCTCTAGCAGTTCCTCTCCTTAAATATGCCTTCACATTCTGCAAATAAACAAAGATACTAATCAATATTATTATAAAAGAATATATGAATTTAATTTAAGTGATTAGCAGCAAACAGCACATATGTGATGAGAGTGGAATACACATCATTACCTTCTTATCAAGTGATATTGCTTTGCTACAATCCTCCTCAGCTTGTTGAAAGCTGTGATATAAATATAACCATCATCAATTCAGTAACAAAATACATAACATTTTTTATATAAAAATAAATTAAATTCAAAAGAAATCAAAGTCTAAAAACATACCATCCTAATTCTAAATATGCAGCTGCTCTGTTGCAGTAAAAAGTAGCATTGGATTCATCCAACTTAATAGCTTCAGTGTAATAGCTCGCAGCTTTATTCCATTGTTTTCCTTTATATGCAGCATTTCCCTAACACAAACCAAAACAAAATTAGTTTTTTAAAAGGGTAAAAGGGTAAAATGGTAAAATGGTAAAAAACCTTTTCCTTCAACAATTCAGAAGCATCCATATTCCCATTCAAGTCTAGAGAAGGTGGCAAACTTGTAACAGCATTAACTTGTCCTTGTAAAGATTGATACATATCCAAAACAGTATCAAGTAGAAATTTATCTGATCCATGAAACGCAATAAACGAAACCCCAATAGTAGAATCTTCATGCTTTCCAAAAGGAATGCTGACCTGGAAATCATTTGTAACATATATTAAATTAAAAAAAAAAATTAAATTTTTACAGAATTGATTTAAGTATTATACAAATTACCTGACAGCAGCCAGACATAGTAGCAATGCTTAATAGAGCAAATAGCCTCTCATTATATTCAGTCAACAAAGCTTTCTTAGAATCAAGTTTTAAAGGGGTATCAGCCACTGTAGGAATAACCAGAATCCCATCATCCTGTAATTACAGAAATAAGTACCTTTAAAGGGTATTTAAGTAAATAATGTAAAGTACCTTTAAGAGACTGCGTAGAGCTGCTCTCATTTCTGTTCTGACTTTATAGTAAGCTTTTGATATTTTCATGTGTAGCTGAAATTGCTGCATGAATATGATCAGAGACATCAGATCCTAGCCTGGGCTTCACTGTTTTAATCCATTCTTCATGATTGGTTTTGAATTCATATCTGAAAAATCAAAAGCATGTTATTATTAGAAATTATCAGAGGGATTAACTCATTAAAATTCATACATACATATTGTACATACCTTTGTAATAACAGCATTGCTGATGAAAGAGCCTTCAAAGCTTTTGTTCCATTTTGGAGATTTGATTCCTCATTATGAAAATATTTTAAGCCTGGAACATTTGAAGAAATATACTGACCAATATTCATATGCTTTGGTTGTTGATCTGCAAAAAGATTGAACAAAAAGAACATCATGAAGTTAGTATTTTACTCATTTCATTCCCTCAATTTGTGGATCCATATAGCAGAAGAAAAACGCTTCATATCATATGTTATAATAGAGTAGAGTTACAAGAATAGTCCCTGTACTTCACCCGAAATCGCAAGCTAGGTTCATTTTTTGAAATCGTCCTTGACTTTGGTTTTTGTTTTGGTATTGAACCCTGACTCGTGTGAAATGACTTTTCTACCCTTATGTGAAATAAGGGTATAAAAGTTGGGGATGAATTTGGAAAAAACTTCAAAAAATGGACAAAACTTGCAATTTTGGGATTTTGGGTAAAGTACATAGACCATTCTTGTAATTTACTCTAAGTTAAACAAACTAGGACATAAAAATTTGGGAAGGAACTTACAACCAGATAACTTTTCAGTTACTTTGCTAACAATATATACAGTTTTCTGCTGAGGAACTTTGGATAACTGAAATAAATCATCAGCCACAACTATTCGTCTTGTCCTTCTAGGCTCAACAGGGTTCAATCTAAGAAGAACATGCCCAACACGATGCAAAACAGAAGGATCACGAGCAAATATTCCTGAAAGATTTCCATCATCAAACACATGAAATATAAAGAAAAAGCAACAAAACTGAAGACTTCTACTGACATGTAGTTTCACAAAAACCAAAAAGACTACATGAAAATAAACATAGGACATACCAAGACTACATACCAACAGTGTCTAAACTCTGTGAATTAGGGAGAACCCCAATTGTGGATACAACTCCATGTGAAGGCCGGAATCCAAGGATGCCACAAAATGAGGCTGGGATTCTTACTCCTCCAATTGTATCAGTACCTAAGAATTTAAAAAAAGACATATGGAAAAGTTAACAGAAGGCATACAGAGAACAGAAAAAAAAAAAAAAAAAGCCTATTGTAAGATTGCTATAAGTGCTCTTTTGCATTTTTACATATGAAAGAAGAATACCAATTGCAAAGTCAATAAGCTCTGCTGCAACTGCAACAGCTGAACCACTAGAGGATCCACCAGGAACATAGGATAGCATTGCAGGGTTTGTTGGGGTCCCATAATGTGAATTTTCTCCAGTTGTCCTGAAATCATAATCCATAACTCACTTTCAAGCTCCATTGTTTTTACATTTAACTGATGAAAATGCCTGACTAACTAGTTGTAGGGAACATGTTTAAATCAGACATAAAAAAAGGGTGATTTAACACCATAAAACACATGGTGTAATGATTGAACAAACAATCCTAGTGTAATTTCTTGTCTTTATGACAAGTTTGATGTTAATAATGTGGTTGTCTGGAATCTTGATGATGAAGATGAATGAAAAAAGGAGTACCCAAAAGATAACTCATCCATGACAGTTCTTCCAACACAAGTAGCCCCATCCTTCAACAATGCAGTAACAACAATTGCAGTCTTTTCAGCTTCCTCGTGTGTTCTTTTCCAATCTGGGTTCCCGAATCCACTAACATACTCTTTCACATCAAAGCTACAACATAACAGCAGAATTCAACAACAATTACTCTTTTGTTTTTGCGTAATGTCATATGTAGCACACTTCAAGTGCAAAACTAAGATGAATTTTAATTCAGAGTTGGAAAGGATAAAAGCTTAGTTGTTCTACTTATATTGCTTGATTGATGTAGATAGCTCACTTTCTACATGAAACACGTTTTGAGTAAAATGGTACTCCATTTAAACACCATCATCGATTGTCCTAATGTTTTTTTTTAAAGATTCATTCAAAATTTATTTATTTGCCCAATAGACGGTCAAACATTGTGATACGCTGCAAAGAGAGTACACTCGAGTGCATAACAGCATCATGATACATATCAAAAATATAAACGGTAAACTATCATTAACAATGTATCATCATCCAGTTGCGTATAAAAACAATTCAAAAATACATAGAAATAGAAATGAACAGATAGAAACTAACACATCGCTGACGGCAAAAGTCAAGCCAGAGAGAGGTTGTTTTGCAGCGGGAGGAGGCGGCTGAGGAAACGGAAGCAGCTCGAAACGCTCTATAAAAGCACCATAATCTTCTCTTATCACATACCTACCTTTTAATCGACGCCTCCGAGTCTCTGCGGTGAGGATGAATATGCCGGCGACGCTGACGCCGATCACGATCCATACTTTTGGGTTTGAGACATTGTTTTTCACTCTCTCCAGATTTATAGCTTTCAACGACATCTATTGATAATCGATTCACCGATTATAAGGTGATTTCTAATGATATAGTATTTGAATCAGTGAAGCCGGCGAAGGAGATTCGACGAATTCCGTTTTCAGGGTTTTATGGGAGAGCAAGGGTTTTAGACCGAGAGAAAGCTATATCACGTTATCGTGCCCTCCACGCAGACGGACGGTTTAAGGCAGTGTTAACACTCTAAGTTTTAACCATTTAACACTCCTAACGTCCACTCCTAACACCTTACCACATCAGATTTTAGAATGCCACCTAAGTTTTAACCATTTAGTATATAATCTTAGCATTTGGCATTTAGCATATAATCTTAGCATTTGGTAGGGAGTGGTAACACTCCTAACATTCTATTTTTTTATTTTTTTTTTCTAATTTAATTAAATTACTTTGTTTTAATATAAAAACATTTTTTATGCATAAATATTAAATTATTTTTATTTTTTTAGCCACTGAGAAGATAAAGTCTAATATAAGTTGGATATATTACTAATTGCTATATAGTATATACCACAAGCTCCTATCATATCCTTTTTAAGAGCAACTATTACTCAATTATCCATATTAATTAAACTCCTCAAACAATGGGTTACACATAGAGGGTGTTCGGTTAAACTTTTTAAATAACTTTTGATTTTATTTTTTGAAAAAGTCAAAAAGATGTTTGGAAAAGGGAAAAGGACTTTTGAAAATGATTTTTCCTATAATGTAATTTGAGTCTTTTTGAAAAGTCACGTTTACCTGACTTTTCCTAACTTTTCACCAGCTAAAAATATTGAATTACAATTATACCCCCCATCTACCATTCATTATAGATTCCCTCATTCTCGTTCTCTCCGCTCACCCTCTTCTCTCTCGCATCGCCAGACCTGCAACATCAGCCGACGACACCGGCGACCTGCAGCAGCACCGGAGACACCGACGATCTGCAACACCGGCCTTTCTCCATCTCCGATCAGGTTTTTTTTTTCAGTCGATTTCGAACCTCTGTCTATTTCCGATTTTCAGTAGCAATGATATGCTGTGAAATTGATGAACTATTTCCCTATTTCTGAAATTGATGAAATATTTCCCGATTTTCTGAAATTGATGAAATATGAAGCCCGATTTTATGAAATTGATATGCTGTGAAATTGATGTGCTGTGAAATTGATGAAATATTTCCAGATTGAATTGATATTCCTGTCTATTTGTGATTTTCCTGCATCTCTAACAGTGATGTTCCTCTCGATTTCTGAAATTAATATGCTGTGAAAAAAAAACAGTTTTGTGATATGCTGTGAAATTAATATGAAGCTGATAATATGCTGTGAATTAACAATCTGTGAACTTGATGAAATATGAATTAACAGTTATGTGAACTTGATGATATGCTGTGATATTCTATTTTTTTTTTTTTTGTTTTGATTAGAATTTTGATAAATTAATGAAATCATTTAGGAAGGTTAATGAAATTGGTTTGTTGCTTAAGTGTTGATACTATATGTAATTCACAGATAATAGATGAAAACCACACTACAATTGTTGATTGTGAAACATCTTTAAAAATGAAAAAACCAAAATTTGGGTGGGATAATCGTAGCTTCATGGTGTTTGTTGATTCGTGCTTGATTGAACAAAAAAAAGCCCATAAACCCGGTACCTCCTTTGATAAATTTGGGTGGGAAAATATACAAAAACGCATTAAGGAGAAAATAGGTTACAGAGAAAACAGGTTACAGCCTTGAAAAAAAACAACTAACAAACAAATGGGAGAACATGAAAAAAGAGTGGAAGCTTTATGACCGCTTAATGAGGCTTGAAACCGGACTCGGTGGGACGAGAAGCCTAGTAGATGCGTCCCCTGAGTGGTAGGAGGAGAAAATAAAGGTATGATTACTATTCTTTTTAATTATTTTAAGTTATGATTGCATATAGATTGAACATATTTGATTTATAATATCTTTTTGTCTTGCAGGAGAATAAAGATTATGCCAAATTTAGGAACACAGATTTAAGCATATTTGATGAGAAATATGCTACTTTGTTTCGGGATTCTGTTGCAGTTGGAGATCAAACTATGACTCCATTACAATTTCAAAACAATAGGTGGAACTTTTGGAGTGTGGAAAGCTAGGTGGGCGTTATTAAGAGACATGCATGTTAATTACAAGTACAAGAACCAAGTGAGAATTGTGATAGCATCGATGGCGATCCATAACTATATTAGAAAGTTTGGTATGTCCGATGAAGCGTTTAATAGGGCACAACAAGAATCCTACAATCCCGTACGAGGTGATACCGGTAGTGATGTTTACGAAGAAGGTCCAAGTACACGTCGCACGAACGATGATGATTTATATATGGCAGCGATACGGGATATTATTGCACAAGATATAATCACATTGCGAAGATGAATATAATATTATCTATGATATTTTTTTATGAATTATTTAGATATTAACGTAATTTTAATAATGTTATGGTCTAATCCAAAAAATTAGAAATATTTTAAAAGTCCTCTTATGAATTATTTACAATTTGTATGAACGTAGTAATTTTAATGTCATGGTCTAATCCAAAAAATTAGAAATATTTTAAAATAAATTTATATTTTATATTTTATATTTTCTAATAAAATGTTTACAAAATTATGATGTGTTTTAAAAAAAAAATTTAATATAAAATAATATATGTGAAGTAGTAAATCAATGTAAATATATAAACATGTCCTTTTTAGTCATTTTACATGTAAAAGTTAAACCAAACACTTTAACTTTTGACTTTTTCCCTTCAAAAGCTAATCCAAACACATTTTAAAAAACAACTTTTGTAAAAAGTCCTTTTACAAAAAGGACTTTTGCCCTCCAAAAGTTAAACCAAACACCTCATAGTATATTTTCACTCAACTGCCGTCTTCAATGCAATATGAGCTTGTAAATATCACTCAAAAACTATACACCATATGCAAATACAACTCCTTCATTTGTAGTCATACATTAGCCCCATCTAGTGTTTTGCTCAATCCCTTTTTTAATTTGTACGATGAATAAACTCAGGCAATTAGCATAATATTGCTTTTAAAATTGGATCTAGTTTTACCACACCGAATCATGACGGAAATGCTATCACCTCCTGCCGGTCTGGAGAATTCATCAATCGGCTCATCTTGGAGAAGAGGTCAAGGGCATAATTGGCATTTCCATTCACACCATGTCCTGAAATGACTGAGGTCCAGGAAACCAAATCTTTGTGTTCCATTTCTTCAAACACTTCCAATGTCTTCTCTGTTGAACCACATTTACAGTACATATCGATCAAAGAGTTCCCCACATATAAATCCTGTTTTATGTTGTTTTTACAAATAGTCATGGACGGATTTGCCCATATTGATTGAGCCTAGATGAGCACAGACAGAGAGCACGCTAGCAACTGTGATTTCTTCAGGTTTATTGTTTGTGTTCTTCATGTCAATAAAGAGACTTAATGCATCAGAGAATTGAGAAACTTGAGAGTAACCAGTGATCACAGTAGTCCATGAAATGACATCTCTTTTTGGCATTTTATCAAATAGCTTTCGTGCATCAGTTAAGTTGCCTGCAAAATGCATAACCTGATATCATGGCATTCCAGGAAACCACATCATGAGCACAACCAAAAGCTTTTAAAACATATATAGAGGTCAGGTTATTTCCTATCAATCCACGGTCGTGCATTTCATCAATTCGCAATCTTTCTTCAATAGTTCCTCACAGTAACAAATTGCAATGTTGATTATATCAAACAACCGCAGAAAGAAAATAGGGGTGATAAGTAGTTAATGAACCTAATTAATTGAATGGTAACTAATAGGTACCTTCAAATTTCAATAGTTCAATGAAGTAGTCGATTGCCCGAAGAAGCACTGAAGCAAATCGCGATGAATCGAGATGAAGCAGATAAGAGATTGTCAGATTGCGATAATAGCAAGATTGAGACTGTGATAAAGGAGAGATTGAGTTGCGATCGTTTCTGGATTGGAGGTCTGAACAATCGTTTCTCACTCTCAATAGTTGATTTGATGCAACACAGACAACTCGAAACCGATCGATGGTTTTGGAGAACATCAAGCACAAACCCAGTTCAAAACCCGATTTCCGCTTCGTCTTCTTCCAACCAATCACATTGTGTTCTCTTTCTCTCTCTTCTCGCCAAAACTTTGACGAGAGCCTAGTAGCGACCCCCCTAGCGAGTGCTACGGGGCGGTGTTTCAAGTTGGCTAGCGAGAGTAGCGAGGCCGGTGGCGACCTCCACTCCGCTTAGCCTAAGTCTATTGTTATTGTGCGCATGTCGCCAAGTGCCCATGGGTGGGTATACGTATATTCGTGAATTATGTGAGTACAATTTTGGTAAATCACAAATATTTTATCATTCACTTTATTTATCATTTACTTTCTTCATCAATTCATTTTTTTTTGCTCTTTTTCTCAAGAAATAATTATCAAAAATCTCAAAAACAATAAACAAAAATACAGATATATTGTTTACAAAAAACAATAACAATAACAATGTCTCCCATAAAATGGGTAAAAAGAAGGTAAGATGATAGGTAGTTTATATTTTTTCCAAATATGTTATAAAAAAAACAAAAAATAAAGTTAGAAAAATAAATTAAAATCAATTTATGATAACATTTTCCCACTTTGAATGATCTCATGCATATAATCCCTTACATATAAATTGTCACCACAAGGGGCAATGGCGCAGAGCCTTCAAAATTTCATGGCTCATTTTTTATGTATATATTTATATTATTATAGGAAAAAAACAAGTATTAAGTCGTTGCAGACTCGCAGGCAGCGGCAAAAAAAAGATAAACAAGATTGGAACCAAAATTAAAGGAGAAGACAAAGAGATGTCAATCCATCTTTCAGGATTCTAAGCAATTAAGTGATTGCCCCAATTGGCTTGTCACTAAAGCAAATCAAACATCCCCAACATTAACAACATCACAACACAATTTTTTAATTTTTTATTTGCTTTAATTTTTAAATTGAAATTGATTTCTTAAAACATTCTTGATTCCGATATTGATTTCTTAGTAGTGAACTGAAGACGTTCTTGATTTTGATATCTAAAAAATGAATTGAAAAAAATATCTATTGCAAAAGATATTTGATTTTATTTTTCTGAAAAACAAGTTCTACTTTCTACTGATTCCGGGGAAAACGATTTTGGGGAAAAAAGAATTTTGGAAAATGATTTCCGAAGGTGCCACCCTCTTTTACTTAAAAAAAAAAAAAACTAATATTAAGGGTCTCATTTTTTTTGTAAGGGGCCTCAAATTGGTTGGAACCGATCATACATAAAGCTATATAAATAGATAGTGTTTATGACTTTGTTGTCTTCATATAAAATTATACTCCATCTTGACACATGATTAATTGTATGGCCTCCACATAAGCACTAAGAATACTAAAACCATACATATAAGTAAAATAAAGACATGTTATGGGCTAAGTGTGTTGCTATTTGTGTAATTTGTCTTTTCTATTTTAGTTTTAAACAAAGCATTAATGAAGTTTGTGTCGGTGGACTAAAATTGTAAATAAAAGTGAAGTAGAGGGGCTGTTTTGTAGTTACTCTAAATTGATAAACAAATAAGAAAAAATGTCTCCAACGGTCGAAAAACAGTAACGTAAAAATCCCCTCATAACCCTCGTCCTTTCCATAATGTTTCAGGTCTCTCTTTCTCTTTACTCAGATCACTCACACAAACCGCATTTTCTTCTTCTTTCTCTCTTTCTCTCTCCAATCCATCAATGGATGTAGCTGTGATCGATTGGAAAGATTCGAAGTTCGAAAAGGACATACTTTATGAAGACATTAACGCTCCTCAATGGATTGATTTCTCCAATCATGATCCTCCTGTTGATGATGAAGCTTGGTTCTGCCGCCCTGGTGATTTTTTGTTCTTCTGTTCTTATACATGCTAACTGTTTAGTGATTTTGTTCATATGCAGTGAATTGTTTCTTTTCAGATTTTTTTTTGTGGTAATGTTATATCAACTTATGATTATCAAATGTTTTCGTGTGAGATCTTAGAAAGCACTACATTTTTGAAGGCTCCTGGTGCTTTGTTATTGCTATACAATCAAACTGTTTGCTAAGTTCGATTGTAGTAATTTTGATATGCAATCGATTCGATTACTTTTGCTGATTTTTTACTGTAACTTGTAATTGTCAATGTTTTCGGGTTAGGTTTAAGAATTTACGATGACTTTGAACTTGTAATTGTAACTGTTACGTTATTCGAACTTCAAAAGTCAAAATTACATCGGTTTTTATTGATTTATGTTGTTACTGTTCATGATTGTGGTTTACAGATTGTGATCATCCAAAGACGGTGGAAGATTTCTTCAGGCAAAGAACCCCCAATTCCGCAAAGGTTCTAATTCTCAGATCTTGTTTGATTTCCGTTTGATTATACTCTTAATCAAATCCTTTTCACGAGATCTACTTATGTTTAATTTGATGAAATGTGTATTAATAGTCTAGATAACTAACTGATCTTCCATTTATCTTTCCATGTAGCTTCCTAGATCGGTTAGCGTTTCTGAGATCCCTGAATTTAGTGATCGAAATCGCAGGTATGAATATACAAACTCTGTTTATAACAATAAATTCGGATCGAATCCATGGTTTATGAACCCTAAATCACATTTATATTTCTGTTCATAGAGATGCAGCATTGAAGAAGAGGGGTTTCCCATTGAACAAAGACTCAAAAACTACAAAATGCATTCAAGATAGTGAGAATCAGAACCCCAATTTCTCAACCCCTCCTATTCACAAACCCAAATCCATAAAAGAAATGATCAAATCAAGCTCAGAGAAGATCAATGTCGAGAATGATTTCTTACTAAAAGAAGAACCCCAACCCCCAAGGCTTCTGAAACACACATTGTCTGCACGAAATCTATTTGCTGGAAGAGATATACTGAATCAGGTCACTGAGTTTTGCAATGAGTTGAAGCGATTGGCAACAAGAGCAAAAGATAATGGTGAAAAAGAGATTGTAAATAAGAGTGTGGTGCCTTCAAAGAAACAGGAAATGGGAGTTTTGCAGGAAAGTAAAACAGAAAGGAAGCCATTGTTAGAGAATCATGAAGAAATGGAGCACAAGAATGTGAAGGAGAAGCTCACAAGGAAAAAGTAAGTTATAAATGCCGTATTTTTTGTGCAAAAGGCATTATTGCCCTTCTTATGGACTAACTTTGTTTGTGATATCTATAATGTTTATGCAGGATGAATGGTGATTTAGAGAACACCCCGATTGCATTAAATATGAAAACCATAAGGGGCAAAGACGAGGAAAGATTGTTGCAGATTCGAACAAATCCTCCATCACCTCAATGCTTTTCTGCTAACCGTGGGACCCCCAAACCCACCCCACCACCTCCTAAGGTGTCCCGCCTTAAAACTAAGGTATGTCAGTAAAGAAAGAGTAACCGAGTTTCACACACCAAAATTTATATATTATTCCATTTTTATGAAACTTTGTTGTTTTAGTTTTGGTTAATTAATTAATTGATATATAGGAGAGAGGGATACTAGAAGAAATCAGCATAAAGGAGGTGAAGAAGGAAGTCAAAGTCAATACAAATCAAGCTGCTCCTCTTTTAACACAGAATGAAGCAAAAGGGTTGGATGTTTTCTGGTTGTTTAAACCCTGCACACTTTCTGGCTAAATTTTATTTACTTTTTATATATTAAAAAATAATAATATGAGTTCCTCTTTTCTTTCTGTTTCCAATTTATTAATTCTTTTTTTCATGATAGCAAAGTTGTGTAATTGGAGACTTTGTAATATCTAATATGTTACATTAAAAAACCCAAAAGGGTCAATAAATATGTCAATTTTATAGAGTAGAATTATTCTCATTCTCTTGTGTCCTATATTTTATTGGTAATTTATTCAAATTTATGTTTTCGTTTTGGCAAAAGGAGCATAAATAATTTGATGGGTTACAAAAACAATTGATTCAAGATTTAAACAAAAATGATTGTACAAATGGAAGTCACAACTAGGGATTCAAACATTCTAAGCACTACTTGCTACTTTTCTCTCTCTCTCTCTCAAGCCTTCAAAAATCGCCATATAAGACCTCACTAGCTCTCAAGACCATTTTTCCAAATGAAGAGAATAGTGAAGGTAGGTTTTTGTTTATTCACTTTGACCACTAAACTTTTAAGTTTACCCCTTTAATTCTCTTAATAAGCGGGTACCCAGCTGAATTTGCTGGAACGGGAACCGGAACCGGAACCGGCGGTTCCTAGTATGTTGGAACCGGAACCGGTTACATCGGTTCCTAAGATTTTGGAACCACCGGAACCGGGTACCCAGCGTTTATTTAAAAAAATCACAAAAAATGACATTATAAAACTATTTTTACATACTTACTTTGCGTATATTTTAAATCAAATAAGGTTGTATTGTTGCAATTAGAAAAAATGACGCGTTTCGGAAAATTCCATGCATTCCAGTAACATTAAATAAAGGGCGTATTCGGCAAAATTAGCGGGTGGCTTGTAGCTTGTAGCGTTTGTTAAACGCTACATGAAGTAGCATTTGGATTTGGAGCGTTTTGTTTAAACTAAACGCTAGAAGCTTGTAGTGTCGAACGAGGCTTTCTATACAAAACGGAGCGTTTTGTCAAACGCTAGAAGCTAGAAGCTCTCAAATGCTACGTGCGGAACACACCCAAAGTTTCATTATTGTTGTAAATGGTATAATTAAAATCTAGTGAGAAAAGATAAACTTTATGATGCCCAAATGTAAGGAGGCAAGCCACAGAAGGCAAACTAAATACTATATGTTTCTCCAAAAACATAATTGGCAGTTTCGGATATATATATATATATATATATATATATATATATATATAGAGAGAGAGAGAGAGAGAGAGAGAGAGAACTGCAAGTGTTTTAAGTAAGTATTGTGTTATTGTATGCATGATTGTGGACCAATCAAAAAATAATAGAAAAAACAATAATTAAATAAATCAATAAGGGTAACTAGGTAATTTGAGAAATAACTTCCACAAATACTCCCTATAATTTTGCTAGGTACGTTGATTTTAACCTAATTCCCCCCTTTTATAAACGGCCTACTGATCTGATCAATCTTCATCACCAATCGGCTAGGAAAGAAAGCCATCGGCTGGGAAAATAAGAACAACGCAGAAAGTTGAATAAAAACGGCTCTATGGCTGGCTGATTCATCGGGCAAGGAAGAGGGGAACGAAAGCAGAGAATGAAGGTAGCCAAAAGCTTGCAGGTGCGCTTCGTCTTTCGATTTGCGAAGAGGGAGGAGTCGTAAGGAGGTGAGCACCTCCGGTGTTCGAATGGTCCGAAGAACAGGGAAGAGGCAACGAGAGTTGTCGTCGACCTCAGTGGGTGCAGAGAGGGTGTGAAAGGGAGGTGTGAGGGTTTTGTGTGGCTGCGGCTTCGATCGTTAGCAAGTAAATGGATGGGGACTGCTCCGGCAGCCTCCCCTATTCTTCTTCTTCTTTTTTTTTTTAAAAAAAAAAAATTAGTGTTCTTGACAAAAATTGATGAATGGAATGCATGTTTGGGGTTATTTTGACAGGAATCAATAGGGGATATGGGTGTTTGAGTTCATTGTTATTTTGACAGGAATCGATGGGGAAATGGGTGTTTGAGTTATTGGCAGGAAGCGATATGAAGAAGGGAGAAGGGAGCAGTGAATCATCAAACATGTAAAGAGGTTTTTTTTCTTCTTTTGTTTGTTTTGATAGAAATCAAAGAACTTAGGGGTTTTAAACTTGGTTTGAATCCGAATTGGATTGAAAGATTTGTTTAGTGGGCAGTAGGCAAGTTGGCTTTCAATTAGAACTGATAAGAAAGGGTTTCAATTAATATATTAGACTTAGACTTTTAATTTTGAGTTGTTTGACTATATTTTATTTTTAGTTATGTTTGAATTAGAATTGTACAAGTCTAGAACGATTAGTAAAATACATAGATGCTTTGATGCTTCTTTCATTTGGAATTAATTTGTTTATGTAGACGATTCAATGGCTGATATTGGTGAGATTCCAATTCTATTGGAATGGAATTACGAATTCCAATTCTGTTGGAATGGAATCATGAATTCTAATTCTGTTGGAATGGAGTATGGATATTTTTCTCACTGATTTATGCATGTTTTACAATTCTTGTTTATTGGTTTTGGTGCAATTCACAAGTCCACATATTTTTCCAAAAAAATTTAGTTTTCTATTTTTCATTTGCTAATGCATTATTGGAATCTAAACTACAATTTTGTTTTGTTTTCACAGAAGTTGATGTTTGAAGAACGGACCATAAAATTGAAAGTGATTATAAGCAACACTATTCTTTTAGAAAGTATTAGTGTCGTTGTTAGATTTTGATATTTTCTTTCCCGTTTTGAAAGTTTTTTTAGTTTTATTCTTTAACAATAAATGTAATTCGTAACAATTGTTACCCGTATTTTATAAGAAATAATGTATTTTTTGTTTTTATTCGTCAATTGATTATTCAAGAATTTGTTATTCTGTCAGAATGTCCGAATTAAAAGAATTATAATTCGAAAAATCGGATTTTTAAAATTAATAGAATCTTGGATCCCTAAAAAAATGCAATTTTCCTTTATTAAATCTATATTAAATGACTAAATTACCCTTGTAATTAATTAAGATGATATTTTTCAATTATATCTAATTCATTAATATATATTAATCACTTTCTTAAAATAAGTAAATTTGATTGGCCCACATTTATGCATACAATAACACAATAATTACTTTGAATAGAATAATTTAAGCTTAAATTGTGTGAGACATGGGGATAAGATCTTAACCATTCATCTATGATTTTGTATGGTTGTCATTAAATCCAATTTAATTCAATTAAAACATTATGGACGGTGGCAGTTTTGTAATTATCTCAAAGTTCAGGATTAGAAAAGGACACAGAGGGGTAATTATGACAATTTACGTTATATCTGTATTTTAACATCATTCAATATCTCTGCAGGTCTTTCTTCATCCAAAATCCCCTCTTCACATATGATCTCAAATTCAGTTGCGATCTAGATTTATGGATTCGAAACCCTAGTTACATAATTATGAATAGATCTACCTTGAGCCAGTTACATCGTTTTCTAGCCTTTTTATTCTAATCGATCATCAAGAATGGATCCTTCGATACAATCTGATTTTGATTCTACATTAAAACCCCCCCTAAACCTTATTTTGTGATTTTGAATCTCTCGCTTCTGATTCTGATTTTGAATCTCCAGTATCATCAGGTCGTTATTTTATTTTAATAAATAATAAAAAAACCTTTCAGCACATACAAATTTCCGTCGATCTTTCAGCTGGTACTTCTTCTCATGATTCTCAGTTGAGGAAGGATTATTCTCATCATGTAATAAAAGATTCAATTGACTCATCTTTTGCTATTAACAATTTTAATGTTAATAAATCTACAATCCAAGCTATGTTATTATGCATAAATGAAGTTATTCACAAAATCTATAGAGATATTCCTGGTATTTGAAATATAATTTGATTTAAGATCTTATTTTGTTTGACTTGTCTTATTATCTAGTAAAAATTGAGTAAATAAAGTTTGATAACTTAATATTCTACTTATTCTAATTTGATAAGTCATAATTTACTTCCTAATTTGATTTTAGATGTTAGTTTGTTTGAGTAATTTTATTATCTAGTAAATACTTAGTGAAATATTGTTTGATAATTTGATATTATGAGTATGTTGGTTTGATAAGTAATACGGTACTTCTTAATTTGATTCAAGTTATACTTTGTTTGATGAGTTAGATAATCTAATAAAAATATTTGTAAAATAGTCTTCGATAATTTAATATTCTAGGTATTATGATTTGTTAAGTTAGGTGTTACTTCATAAATTTGATTTTAGATGTTTTTATCGATTAACAAGATGTTATTGTTTACTTTGATAAGTTAAAACTCAAGTCTATAATACGTTTTGAGAAATTTGTTATTCTATCTTGACATAATGGAATTCATCTCTTTATGTTTTAGTTCGATAATATCTAACTGAGATTTAGATTCTAGAATATGGTAGATTCTAAATCATCTCTTGTAATGGGCTTCATGAAGTTGTTATTCTATTTATTCTAATTTATTGTAGTACACTTACAAAATGAGCCATACCTTGTATTAATCAGAAATTAGAACTAGCCCAAGTCCTTCATTTGAAGAGTTCAATTCTTCTATAAGATTTTCAATGAACAATTTCCAAATGTCTTTTGTTTTCCACACATACAACTGCCCAATCAATTGGGAATATTCCATTGCTAGCATCCCTACCCACAACACAAAGCAACTTACCTTGTCAAAAAAAATTCATGAAACAATCATCCAAGTTAATGATCCTTCTACACCCTCCCCTCCATCCATCTTTGACTCCAGCAAAACATATGTAAATCTTGTTGGAGTAATTCTTACCATCAGGCGTTGCATCCACATAAATTTTAAGAGTGGATCCAGGATTTTATATTTTAATCTCCTCACCATATTACCATATTTTGGAATAATTATATGCAATTGTGCCCTCAACTAGAGTCAAAGCATATTTATTGGCTCTCATGCACTAACTCATAGTCACATCAATGCCAAAAGTGTTTTTAACCTCCTCTCTAAGCAATTTGACACGA